GGGGGTGGACTTTGGTGTGAAAAACGTCCGTTTCTCTGATTTACCTGCGGGAGGAAGAATAAAGGACAACTTTGGCACAAAAACCACGTTGTAGTTGCGCTCACCTGGTTGGTTGGGTCTCGGTGTACGGAGCGCCCTGCTGGGGGCGACCCCCCTGACGATGCAGTCGAACAGGAAGCTGATCTGCTCTCCTTCTGAGCAGGCCAGGAAGAAAACCCCGGCCCCTGGGAGACACGAGGGAAGACATGCACAGACTCAATTTAATGACCTGAAAACTGCAAAGAGGCGTTAAGAATTACAGAATAATAACGTGACAAGTAGTAAAAAAAGATCAGTGAGTAGTGTTGTACTGTAGTATATTGTACAGAGCGAAAGGTACTTTTTGAGCGAGGCCGAACGATGTGAAGGCAAAGCTGTTCTTTGAGACATGGACAAATCTTTTTTACTAAAAGTCACGTGACGTGGATCAGGTCAGCTCTCAACATTAACTGCAGCCCCCGCAGGAGTGTCCGTCAATGAAAACAGGCAAAACTAATATAAAAACATCTACGTCTCACAAATAAACAGGAACATCATAACGTCCGCTCTTATTTTGAAGGGTGGCTCATTCAGCCTGTAATTATAATAAAACCAACTGGAAAGTGTTTATTAAAAAAACACACATTTGATATATTTAGTTTAGAGGATGAGCAAGGTTTGCATTTGTGAGATAATTTTTTATGCATTAAAATGTGCTCTCAAAGCAAAACTTCAAGCTCAATGATCGAGTTTTCTACTTGAATCTTCTGAGCTGAATGAAAATCTCTTCGCTTCATCGGTCGATTCAAAACGATTTGTTGAGTCGGAGGAAACGCTGAATGACTAAAAGGTTCGCTCGAAGTCTCATGGTGGCGACAAAAGAATTAAACTGCATTAAAGAAAGAGATTAGATTACGACGTTTGTATGAAAATCTACAATTATCTGACCTGTTAAACTGTCAGTTACCGCCGTGCACCAGTTTTATACACGTGGTCTTTACGGTTCCATCTTTTTTAAACGAGTACATTGATTTTAGGCTTTACTTTGCAGGAGCTTACATGCGTCTTATAGCCGGAAAAATACTGTAGTTAAATAAAATCTCGCAATTTCATAATCATCAACAAATAATCTGCTGATTTAAGTATTTTTAGAGAATTGTTAAAGTTTCCTATGGATGTTCTTGAGGACATTTTGTGAATATAATGAACTCATAAAAACTTTTATTTTGCTTTGTGACGTAAAATAATTAATAATTAATTTGATATTTGACAGTGCGCCAGCTGTGAGACATTTGTCGTGAAATGGCGCTTTGTGAATAAACTAATTAAATTAAATTATGGCCACTTTAAAAAAAATAAAAAATAGGGCATTTTTAATTTATGAAGAGACAATAAACAGTTGTATTAATTTATCTTTTTCTTAATAATGCATACAAAGTTAAAAACCTAAATTTAAACAAAATGTAAACTTTTCTTCACTGACCCATAAATGCTTAAAGTTTCACTTTCAGACTAGATAAAGTAATTAAATAAAACGTTCTCTGGGTTTAAAGAGCTGGAGATGATCTGTCCTGACGACGAGCTGGAGGGTCAGACCTCTGAGGGTCAGTCACACGTCAGCGCCGCCTGCTTGGACTCAACTTCTCAACAGCTTCTGGTTGGCACGACTAAATATAAAACGAGCTCTCACACGTGCAGCAACACAACTACAGAGGAGGTGTGTGTGTGTGTGTGTGTGTGTGTGTTGGAAGCAGCTGAGTGACAGACACACTGCCGAGCCAGCACGTGAGCTTCAGATGGATTTATCTGGAACAAGAAGCTGAAGGCCGTCCAGCCTCTGCAGCCAACGGTTTTATTTCTGTGTCAGCATGCGGGCACTAAAACATGTTCAGCTCGTGCTGCAGGGAGGACAGAAGCACACAAACTGACGAGGAGAACATCGTCAAAATTAAAATGTCTCTTACGGAGGTCTCTTTAAAACAGCTAAAAGAAGCTGTCACTCTGGAAACTATTTGCATCCGACTGTTAAACTGAAGCAGCTTCTCTTGATGGGAGGTGCTGCGCACAGTCCCAGTCTGGACTGGTTGACTGAGGGCGTGTTTGTATGCCTCTACAATACGTGTTTGCTGAATTTGGTTTAAATAAACAGAAATGAGCACAAAATTACAAAATTAGCTAAAAAAAAAAGAGCAAAAAGTAGCTGAAAAAGCAGAAAGATGCTTAAACTACCAAAACAAGTAGTTGCTGAAATAGCAGAAAAAGCTGAACCTAGAAATAAAAAAGCTGAAAGGAGCATAACAAGCTGAAATTAACAGAAATAAGTTAATTAGGCTGAACGCAGCAGGACCATGAAAAACTTGAATTTATCAGAAAACAGCTGAAATTAGCTAAAAAAAAAAAGGAGCAAAAAGTAGCAGAAAAAGCAGAAAGATGCTTAAACTACCAAAACAAATAGTTGCTGAAATAGCAGAAAAAGCTGAACCTAGAAATAAAAAAGCTGAAAGGAGCATAACAAGCTGAAATTAACAGAAAAGTTAATTATGCTGAACGCAGCAGCACCATGAAAAACTTGAATTTATCAGAAAACAGCTGAAATAAGCTAAATATGAAAAAAAAATACAAGTAGCTGAAAAGGTAGAACAAGCTTAATTAGAAGCAGAAAGAACAAGTTTGTCCAATTAGGCTGAGAGAAGCAGAAATGAGCTAAAAAATTGTGAAATTAGCTGAAAAACAGCTAAATAATTGCTGAAATAGCAGAAAAAGGTGAACCTAGAAATAAAAAAGCTGAAAGGAGCATAACAAGCTGAATTTAACAGAAAAGTTAATTAGACTGAACGCAGCAGCACCATGAAAAACTTGAATTTATCAGAAAACAGCTGAAATTAGCTAAAAATGAAAAAAAATGCAAGTAGCTGAAACGTTAGAACAAGCTTAAATTAGAAGCAGAAAGAACAAGTTTGTCCAATTAGGCTGAGAGAAGCAGAAATGAGCTAAAAAATAGAGTTTAAATGAAAAACCTGAAATTAGCAAAAAAAAAACAGCTGAAAAGTAGCTAAAATGGCAGAAAGAAGCTGAACTTACGAGGATGTGGAGAAAGCACATTTTTTGCTGAATTAGACTGAAAAAAGTTGAAATGAGTGCAAAAAATGTATAATTAGCCGAAAAAGCTTAATTAGCATAAAAACAGCTAAATAGTAGCTGAAATAGTAGAAAATGCTGAAACTTGCAGAAATAAGCTGAAATTAGCAGAAGGAAGTTATAAGAAGCCCCAAAATGCTGTAGATAACAGAAAGAATCTGAAAGGAGCACAAAACAGCTACAATTAGCTGAAAGTAGCTGAAAAAAGTTTAAATTTGCAGAAGGAAGCTGAAAGAAGCTGAAGCAGAACAAAATGTGAAAGGTTGTAAACACATCTAAAGAGCTGAAGGATGTAAAATGAGTTTAATTCATTTTCTATGAGAAATAAAAAAGTCAGAAAAGGCTAAATATTTTAAAAAGCTAAAGTTGCACCAAAACCAAAAGTCATATCAGGATCGTCCTGAACGAGCCGAACGTTTTGAGTCATGATTTGTTGAAATGGATGAAAACTGGGGACAAGAATGGCGCTGAAAAAGAAGAACGATGATGACAACAGAGTGACAGCTTCAGAAACACTGACAGATAAAAGAGCTTCTTCTAAAACAAAAAGAAAGTGCAGAACAAACTTTTAAAGTCGTGGAGAACAACCGACCGTCAGAAGTGAAAGCCCTCAGCGACGGGGACATCAGCGCACGGCTCGTTTTTAATCCTGCTGCATCTGTTCTCTGAAGGAACGCGCTCGTCTGTTATTCTAGATAATTAAATAAAAACCATCACTCAGAGAATGTGTTGAGGACGACTCTCAGCTATCACCACACCCAGCTTTAGCTCAGTCTCTAATAATTAATTCAGTTAAAGCCATTTTTGTGTTACAGAAGATCAGTTGGCTCTGGTGGCCATCTTGAACTGAGCTGACTTCACAAGTACATATACTGATTAATTTCTGATAGTTTCACTGAAAGCTGTCCTGCTGTTCTTCACCTGGTTGGTTTTTATGTTGTTGATGTAAAAATCACTGCACTCCCAAATCCTCTCCAGAGCTTATCGGCAGCTTAAAATGTTGACGTCCATAAAACAACAGCTTGATCGTGGAACGTGTTGAACACACACTAAACACAAACACGCACATAAAAACTTAAACGCTCCACTTTCCTTTGAAGCCATGCAAGGAACGCGACTTGCAGACTTTACGTCTGTCACTCTTCGTCTCTGCCACGACTGCAGGAGGCCGCCGCCTGCTGCCCCAGTGCCTGCTGGGTAATGTGCTGATGATAGGAAGAAGGACCCTGCGGTTGGACGTAGAGCCAACAGGCTGCGATCGGCTGAGAGTCCGGTCCTGGTATTTATAGACGTCTCTCATGAGAAGTTTGTAACCAGAGCCTGAAAACCTCCTGGTTATTCGTGTGTTCGCAGAGTGCAACCAGGAGCTCGAGTTATCTCTAAATCTAACAAGAGGCAGAGGGGAAGGTTTTAAATGTGCTGAAAAACTTCCTGTAGAAGACAACAAAGTCCATGCACAATCATCCAGGTATCAAATCCAATAATTCTCAGTCCGGTCGTGTGGACAGTTTCATTTTGTAGAGACGTTTCACCCTCTCCAGCTGTCAGCGCCACAACTTTCGCTGAGGCCCCACCCACTAACAGGAAGCTGCCTCCCGTTCCGAACTTGACGTTAAGAAGAGACCTCAGCCCAGGCGACCACAACGTCTTGGTTGGGTGGACATGGAGACGTTTCAGTCATGTTGCTTTACAAACACCTGCAATTTTAGTTGAATCGGTCGGTGCTGGAGGGGCGGCTCGAGGAGAACTCTGGCAGTTCTGCTAAAGCTGCTGTAAACTACCATAAACTACCGTAAACTACAGTAAACTACAGTAAACTACCATAAACTACAGTAAACTACCATAAAGTAACGTTTACTACCTTCTTAATTGAGCTTGTGTGTGGTCTTGCACCAGTTT